ACTATGTGTGCCCAATGAAGATGGAGAAATGAAAGAGAGGGATTACGGCATTATTACACTCCATGGGGGGGGGTACTTTCCCCTCTTCTCTGACTTTCTCTTGCAAGTGCATAAGCCCTCTGGAAATTTTTTTAAAGTTTATTGGGGCCAAGTGGTGGCACAGTGGTTCTGCAACTGACCCACATTGGAAAGGTCCTGGATCCCTGTCCCAGGACTCCCCTGGGCATGGCTGCCTGTGATCCAGGCAAGCTAGGACTGGAGGAGGACCAGGGCACAAGGACCCTGCTGGGTGCCTGTCTCTCATGGAAGAAATAAACAAACTTGGGACCAGCAGGTAGCATGGTGGTTAAGGTGCTGGACACTCCCACATGGCCGATCAGAGTTCGAGTCCTGAATCTGGTGGCTTGCTTTCTCACTTCTCTCTCTCACTCTCACCCTCTGTCTCTCTCTGGTCAAATTAAAAAAAATGAGTGAATGAATAAATAAAATTTTAAAAAAAGAAATAAACAAACTTAAAAAAATTTCATGATAAAGGTCTAGGATAGTTCACAAAATTGATGAGAGGGCAGGATGATGTGGTTCTAAGGACCCACAAGGAACATGGACACAGGGCAGCAGGTGACCCAGTGCAGCTATGGGAAAAGTCTAGTAGGAAGCTACTCTGGAACCAGCAGGTGGTGTAGAGGTTAAGGCAGCTGGATCTCCACATGGCCCACTCTGTGGTTCGTGTCCTGAACCCTGCAGCTTGATAAAAATCACACAAGCCCAGCTGTGTGCTTGCCCAAAATCCTGAGAAGAAAACGGATTGTGGTGTGGGCTTCCTCTCCGGGGAGTGATTTCTCTTTACCTCTTTCTCCTTTTCTGGCAAGTGCACGTGCCCTATAGCAAAACTTAATTTAAAAAAAAAAAAAAAGAGAAGAAGAAGTAGTCCTAGGGCCAGCAGGTGGTACAAAGGTACTGTCTGTCTGTCTCTTTCTGGTGAGAACACATGTCCTATAGCAAACTACAAAGGAAAAAAAAAAATTAGTTGCTCTAGAAAACAGACTAATGCGGCGACAGGTCTCTCACTGCTGCCACAAACTTCTCAACTAATCCAGAGATTTTGCTGCTTCCACAAAATTCCAAGTCTTGTGGTAGATTCATCCAAAACACTAAGAAGTTCGTTGGTAACAGACAATCTGACAATATTGTAACCTACTTATATAGAAGATATATGTAAGTATTAACAAGAAGACAACAGGGGCCAGCAGGTTGCATGGTGGTTGAGGTGCTGAATTCTCATATGCCTGACCGTGGTTCAAGCCCCAGACCTGGCAGCTCAAAAATACAACAAATAAGTACATAAATAAATAAATGTTTAAAAATTAAAAAACAAGAAGACAATAGACTTTATTTTGAAGGGGACAGAGTATATGGACTAAATATATATTATAAATCCACATTTTATAAAAATAAACTGGCAAGGGGGATCAGCAGATGGTATAATGGTTTTATCGCTAGACTCCCACATGGCCAATCATGGCTCAAGTTTCGGACCTGGAGGCTTGAAACTCATGCCAGGTGCATGTGTGTGCATGCCCATCCAAAATCCTAGGGAAGAGTGGAAGAGAGGGGATTGCAGCATGGCCATCCCCCCTGGGGGGGTTGATTTCTCGGTTTTTTTTTTTTGGGGAGTATAGGGCGCGTGCGCTCGCCAGACAGACAGAGAGAGACAGAGAGACAGAAAGCGAGAAATCACCCCCGAGGGGGGATAGTCACACCGCAGTCCCTTCTCCTCCATTCTCCTCTCAGGATCTTGGGCACGCATGCACACGCGCCTGGCGTGAGTTTTAAGACACCGCGTCCGGGATGCAAACCGCTGTTGATTACATGGGAGTCTAGCGACATAGCCATTACGCTAACTGCTGGTTCCCTCGCTTTCTGTCTCTCTGTCTGTCTGTCTCTCCAGTGAGCACACATGCCCTATAGCAAAAAAATCTCTAAAAAAATAAACAAATAAAAATAAACTGGCAAGGAAGAAGAGTTTTTGCTTCCACAAATGGATATTTCTGAATAGTATAGCAAAACCTTACTACAGAATTTCTAGATATGGTAAAGAGATTCCTAAAGTTGCTTATGTTATATATGCATTAAATATAGTCAAGTATTCGGCCGAGCAATTTCAAAAAGGCAGGAAGGGTAAACAAGAACACTAAAGAGATAAGGGCTTTCTCCTATCCGACAACTCAAAAGTATTTCTTTGAAAGACTCAATGAAGCCAAAAGATAAAACTACAAAAAGAAATAAAATTAAATGATATTTCAAAATCAATTCTTTGTAAAAATAAAATGTGTTTCCATTCTAGAGGTCAAAAACCAAAGTGGTAAAGCAGTGATTTTTTATGTCCTTGGAGGAACAAGCTACGGCAGGTGGAATACTTAAAATACCTGTTTTCTTTAAGAATTAGTTTATTTAAATTTATTTATGTGTTTATTTTCATTTGACCAGAGAGTTACAGAGAGAGAGAGAGAGAAAGAGAGCTGCCAGGTGCAGGTCTCGAACCGTGGTTGGCTATGTGGTAATCCAGAGCCCCTTAACCACCACATCATCTTTCAGCCCCATACTTAAAATATCTTTGAAAACAAAGGATCTTACATGCGTTCAGACTCCAGTATTTGGAACCGTGTATCTTTCCAGTGGACTATTTTGGGTAATTTTCAAATAAATCCATTTGAAAGCAGACTGTTCTTACTGTCATTACTGTACTCGCAAGCTCTTCTGGGCTATGACATACATAATCAAAACTGTAAGTACATCTCATGTTTGTTTTCTCTGTTGTTAGAATAGTAAAAGGGGGGACCAGCAGTTAGTGTAATGGCTATGTTGCTGGACTCCCATGTAGTTGACCGCGGTTCAAGTCCTGGACCCGGTGGCTTAAACTCATGTCAGGTGCCTTAGATGTTGTAAAAATTTTAGAATGACACATTTTCACCCACCTTCTTCTCTTCTACAGCATGATTCTGTATTCAACGACTGTCTTAGAGGGTGCTTAATAAAGCTGAAACTCACTCCCATTTTTCTGTTCACCAAATATTTATCAAAAGCCTCCTATGGAGACCAGCAGTTAGCGTAATGGCTATGTTGCTGGACTCCCATGTAGTCGACCACGGTTTGTGTTCCGGACCCGGTGGCTTAAACTCACGGTGGGTGCATGTGCGTGCGTACCCACAGTCCCGAGAGGAGAATGGAGGAGAAGGGATTGTGGCATGGCCATCCCCCCTGGGGGCTGATTTCTCGCTTTCTGTCTCTCTGTCTCTGTCTTTCTGGTGAGCGCACACGCCCTATAGCAAAAAAAA